TACTCAGCATCATCCCAAAATATGATCTGCTGGTAATAAACATCTTGATTCCATTTCCAAGTTTATACCCCTATTCAAAGGTCATCTAAATAATAAACTCATTAAAAGAAATGTCTTCCTTTGTCTTCAAACTCTCTCCCCTATCCACTCCAGACAGCCATTTTATTTTTTTTATGTACAAAAGGGGCATATTTTTTCTATCTCCTTTCTAGTCTTTCTCTGATTGATGACAGAGGCAGATCAACACAGGAAAATGAAGCTGCAGCTAATTCAGGCTTAGTTTCATTAGCACAAGAACAATGGTAGCAAAGAGAAAAAGACACAGAATTTACTGTCAGGTAGCAGCTAAAAAAGAAATTCCCATGCAATTTGAATATGTACTCTATTTACAGAGTAAAGAAAGCCACTGAATAAAATCAAGATCCAGCTGTAGTATGTTCTACCAAGGACTTTGCATAACTAATCATCAGAAATCATAACACACATTCTACAGAGGCCAATATTAAATTGAGTTACTGTCATGTTAGCATGGTCTTCTAGTCTATTCAATAAAATTCTGGCTGCTTAAAACCCTGAGGGATAAGTTCTGGTCTTAGTATACTGATGTCCTCAAAGGAAACCAGCATGAATAGTGGCCAAGTGTTTAAAGCATAGTATATGCTTAAAGAAATGTTCACATTAATTCCCATTTTATTATCTTCCCATATCAGAGCTATACAGTGAAAAATACGACATCTCCATACAGCACATACTCAATATTTTAGAATACAATGTTTTGCAAAGATGACGCTCTACAGAGCTTGTAAAAAAGCTACTTATTCAAACCATACCCAAAACAACTGTGGAACAGTCCTCCTTGCTGGAAGCAATGACCTCTAAAAAAGCAGATTTTCTTTCTATATTCAGTCAACTCACAATTCAGCAAGCAAAGAAGCAAGAAGATACAGTCAAGATACCTGACTAGTATTTAAGTTCAAAGATTGGTATTTCTTACACAACTTACTGGTCAGAGATTCTGTCACGCCATGCATGTCCTATAGGCAGTACATAAGAGTTACTAGTTTCACCTATACTCAATAATTTGTACAAGACATGCCATGGAAGCCCTGAATCAACAGCACTAAAAGCACCTTAAATAGGTAAGACTTAAACACAATGATCTTAGGAAAATGTGATGCAGAAACAAAAACTAATAGTTTCTAAACCTCATCATTACCTCAGTAAGCTAACTGCCAAATTAAGCACAAAGATGGAATATAGAAAACAACTTATATCTATTTTCTAGGTTTTTCTAGGGTCACTTTGAAAATTTTGAGAGGATTAAGAGTTTGTTATGGCAAATACAAACTAAAACATAGTAATCAGAAGCAGAGAAGTGTCTGATGAACAATCACATAATACAAACAATATTAACCACATTATCCTGTCTGTGGAATCTGGGAAAAAAAATACACTCCAGAATTGAAGACATGTTAAATGTAAAATACTTCTTGCAGTTTTTCAGTCCAAAAGAAACCAACTTATTACAGCATTTGTTGGAGCCTGGTCATAATTAAATACAGGAAGGATATTAAAACTTCCAAGAGATTTTTTTAAGCCACAACAGAAGAAAAGGCACAATTGCATAATTGGAACCAAATCCAAAACCCACTTCCTTCTTATTTACTAGTATCATCTAAAGGACACTATTAGATGCTGAAAGGTCTGGAGCTGACAACTGTGAACCATTTAAAAGTCAAAAAATTCAAAGGAATTGTACAACATGGGTTAAAAGTTTATAGATGAGAGATACAGAAAGTTAGTGCTCACTGCAAAACCACATCCTAGGAGTCACAGTACCTCTTGTCAGCAAAATCGTAGAATCCTATTTTGTTGTGGGGAAAGAAATCCTCTTTGGTAGTAATAAACTGCTATAAAGCTATAGAGCAGAAGTGTTTGATATGTGGAATTTGAAAGAAAGATATATTTTAAAGATATTCTAAAAATAGTATTTCATCAGAGAACAGGATTTCACTTATAATTTCACAGACCAGTTAAATATGAAACTAACTTGCCAGACAGTGGGATATTTCTTTAAAAAGCTTCAGATCATTTTTGCTGGCAGTTTAATTCAGTTCAGTGTTCTTTGTCATTTGCATATCTCTGCAGGAAATTAGTATCAAAAGCTTCTTCCAGCCCTCCCCCTCTGCAAAAAACATTAAAATTTAAATCCTCTTGCATTTCTATAAGGCATGCAGAAAGATGACAGCACAGACAGAGATGGAGATGTACATGCTAGGTTTTTTGCTATAAAATAAACCCAGCATCTTTCAAGATTTTCTCATTATTTGAGCACCTTACCCCCTGTTGTGTTTTTTTTCCTTTCTGACATAGTCAGTCATCAACACTGACCAATGAAGACATTGGTCAGTGCTGGGCAGTATTGGCCAGCTTCACAATTCTCAGTTCAGATGAAGGGATGGAAAAAAGGTGCAAGTACACTGCTCTGTTAGCTCAGTGCATGAAATGCTGGCAAAACCCAGAAGTTTCATATAGGTCACTGCTGGCACAACACTATTAATAGGAGGATGATTCAGTAACCCTTTTGCTTTACACATAGAAAAGAAGATTCCTTTTTTCCTCACTAAAAATTACTACACTTCAGTGAAACTCATGATGAAGGAAAAGTTACGATGCATCTGTTTGACCTCTGGATCCCACCATTAATCAACTGCAACAAGAATCTAACAAAATGAAAACCTACAACTTTAGGTTCTTACTGTTTTGGCAGCGTCCATGAGAAACTTAAAAAGGTCATTCTTTTTAAACATTTGTCACATGAGGAAGAGCTAGCTTTAGATATCTCATCTTGGATGTAAAACTATAATCCCTTTGAAAGTATGGATATTTAAAGAACCTGATCATATCACAGTAATTGTCTAACTTCCCCTTATAAAAACACGTTACCATCAGAAGTACTGTGAAAGCTATTTATTTATTTATTTTAATTTCCAAATCTGTGCTACTCTTTCTTAGTACACTCACACTTAAAGACTTACAAGTAACCACCAGTCTTGCAAAAAGAAAGAAAATGAACCACTAGACATTCTCAGAGAGACTCAGTTCTCAGTTGTGCTTTTTCTTCATATATTTTAACACATTTTTTAATGGGATTGATCACATGGGGGGTTTTTTGGCACTCCAGCATCTCATCCATAAATATTTCTTCCAATTTAATAGATGTTCTCGTTACAGTCATGGGCTAACACCCTAAAATTAATTAGGACTGAAGTAACAGGGTTACCTAAAACAAGAGCTGGTTTCTGAATAATATCTTATAACCATACTCTGTTTCAAAATACCAGCTTATCTGAATTTCATTTAATGCTAAAGTAAATAAAAACACTTATTTTTCAGTAAGACTGTACATGTATGGAATTACTTCTTAACAACTTCTAGATAGCTATAATTTTATAATAAGCACAGAAAGAGTTAATGTTAAAAAAAATAAATCCTACTAAACTTTCCCTTCACTACTTAGTATTTCTTCACCTAACACCATCCAGGTCTTCAATCCCTAGCTCGTGTATGCCAGTAAGTGACCTAAAGGGCAATGATGTGGAAGTTCAAATGGAAATTTGGCAATATAAGAACATTTTGTGCATAGCCAAATCTATCCTAATCAAGGAAAAAAGATTCTAAAGACAAATGAGGCAAGAAAATAAGCTGAAATAAGAGAGCTACAGCTGCACTTAAATTCAGCTCTTCTTACTGTCAGCATTGATAAAATATCCAACAATAATCAAGAAGACTTCATTAAATAAAGCCAAAAAAAGTAAAACAAGGAATAAAAAAACCCTAATTACTCTGGAAATTAATAGAAATTACCAGAAGTCCTTTTAATAAAATTAGAAATTAAAAACCTCAAGGAGAAACTGCCATAATATATAACACTACAATGCATATATATACACTAATTCCATATAATACAAAATATTTCATACGCATTTAATATACATTTTAAATATTTTTCTAAACTTCTTATTACACTTTTCAAATACAGGCACAACATTTACAAATGTATTTAAGTGTATTAAATTCAGTCCTTACAAACACTTGTTCTGAAACAAATGAGAAATTCTTTCTTGATTCAAGAAGGGCTTCCCCTCCTTTTCAGATCTGATTTCAGTAGGTATTTAGACAACAGCCACAGGCACTAAAACAAGGGCAACCTCAATCATTAGCCTCAATCATTACTATCATACAATGATATAGGTAGGAAGGAATATTTGGAGGTCATCTTGTCCAACCTTCTGCTCACACCAAGGCCAATGTTTAGCACAATGCACACTGTCATCTCACCTGTAGTGACAGGCGTAATGTGACGAAAAATACAATTGAATAAAGACAAAAATAATGGAGCACTGTATCAGCTTTCATTAGTACTGCACACAATTTTGATGTCCATTTTTAAAACTTAAACAAAAATTCCTCTGCACCATATACCCAGATGGTACCAGCAAGTATCCACATCAACAAGGCAACGTATCATCTGATCATGAAGAATTCATACCAACATCACCTTTTTTTTCAAATTACAAATCATTGCATCAATGGTGCTTAAAAGTTCAGAGACAATTTAAAGTTCTTAGTATTTGTAGTACATGACCTATCTTTCATGATCAAAACATCTTTGTCCTTAATGTACCTAGAAAAAGTGATGCATCTTCAAACTTACTTTATTCTTTAATTCCCAGAGGCAAAGGCATCCTGGATTACATTACTTTGACACTTCTGTGATACCCGATTACTCTGGGTGATTCAGTCTGGGTTATTCAGTCACTCTGCTGGTAGCATTGCCCAGTGCCAAACCTCCCTTTCAACACTGGTTTCATCACTCATGCTTGTCTATCTGAAATTACCTACTATTAGTTGTACTAATGCACATTAATCTATGTCTAAATTGTGTTCTTCAGTTCAAACATCTATACAACAAAGAGCAATTTTTTTAAAACACCTACCTGAGTTGACAAGAGATTGCAGTCAATGTGTAGTCCTTTGCCTGTCTTATACCTCTGAAGCAAACCAGCCATAATTGCTCCATATGTATACAATCCAGTAGCAAGATCTGTCATGGCTACTCCTGGTCTAACTGGCTCACCATCCTAAAGATAGAGAAGAAAACACCTCAAAACAAAACAAGGCAAACAAAGCAATAAACAAACAAATGAAAACCAAACAAGCAAACAAAAAAAAAGAAGAAAACATGGAGAGATAACAAGATTGTGCAGGACTATGATCTTACTGGTATCACAGAGACACGGTGGGATGATTCCTACTACTGAAGTGTTTGAATGCAGGGATATAGGCTCTTTAGGAAGGACAGGCAGAGGAGACAAGGAGGCAGCATTGCCCTCCATATCAGTGACCACCTGGAGCACATGGAGCTCCACCAGGAGATGGATCAAGAGCTGACAGAGAGCACAGGGAGGGCAGTTACAGGTGACATTATAGTGGGGGCTGCTACAGGCTGCCCATCCAGGAAGACAGACTGGATTGAGGCTCTCTGAGACAGATAGCAGTGGCCTCACATTCCAAGCTCTGGTCCTCATGGGGGACTTCAACCACCCCAATATCTGTTGAAGGGACAACATAGCATGGCATAAACTATCCAGAAGGCTTCTGGAATATGTTGACGATTAATATGTTGATGATAACACCAACAAGGAGAAGTACAATGTGGGACTCTGTTCTCACCAACAATTAGGGGCTGGCAGGAAGTGTGAAGCTCAAAGACAGCCTGGGCAGTAATGAACATGAAATGGTGGAGATTGAGATCATCAGGGCACCAAGGAGAGTGCACAGCAAGCTCACTACCCTGGCCTTCAAGAATGCAGACTTTGGGCTCATCAGGGATCTGTTTGGTAGAGTAACATGGAATAGAGTCCTGGAAGGAAGGGAGGCCCAAGAAAGCTGGTTGATATTCAAGGATCACCTCTTCCAAGCTTCAGAGAGATGCACCCCAACAAAGAGGATGTTGGGCAAAAATACCAGGAGGCCTGCATGGATGAACAAGTTGCTCCTGAACAAGCTCAAACACAAAAAAGGAAGTGTACTGAGGGTGAAAGTAGGGACCGGCAGCCCGGAAGGAATACAGAGAGACTGTCCAAGCAGCCAGAGATCAGGTTAGGAAAGCTAAAGCCCTGATACAATTAAACCTGGCCAGAGATGTCAAGGGTAACAAGAAAAGTTTCTATTCTCTGGGATACTGAGAAGGCCGAGGTATTGAACGACTTTTTTGCCTCAGTCTTCACTGGCAAGTGCTCCAACCACACCATCCAAGTTGCAGAAGGTGGGAAAATGTAAAGGTAGGGACTGGGAGAACCTACAATGACCCACTATAGGAAAAGATCATGTTTGCATGAAGGTGCACAGGTTCATTGGACCTGATGACATACATCCATAGGTGCTGAGGGAACTGGCCAAGGAAGTGGCTAAGCCACTATCCATCATATTTAAGAAGTCATGGTGGTCCAGTGAAGTTCCACTGACTGGAAAAGGGGAAACATAACCTCAGTTTTTCAAAAGGGGGAAAGAAAGACCCAGGGAACTATAGGCTTATCAGTCTCATCTTCATATCCACCAGGATTATGCAGTAGATCCTCCTAGAAGCTATGCTAAGGCACATGGAATATAAGCAGGTGATCTGTCACAGCCAACATGGCTTCACAAAGGGCAAATTGTGCCTGACAAATTTAGTAGTCTTCTACGATGGGGTTACAGCAGTAGTAGATGTGGGAAGAGTGACTGATGTCATCTACCTGGACTCACGTAAAGTGTTTAACACTGTCCCATATGAAATCCTTGTCTCTAATCTAGGGAGACATGAATTTGATGGATGGATCACTAGATTGATAAGGAATTGGCTGAATGGTCGCACTCAAAGTGTTGTGGTCAATAAAGAAATTAGTACATTTGAGTGAAGTGTAAAAACTGCCACTGACATCCAGATATTCTTGAAGCATGTACACAAAATGTCACTTTGTGATGCTGCATACTACAAATTGTGAACTATTTATTATGCAACTTTTTCCCTAATAACATAATGCATCAACTCACCAATGCAAAAAGCAAAGAGATAATGTTAGAGACAAGAAAAGCCAGTGAAGACTGAATTTCATTATGTCTAAAAGACCAGTGGCCTAGACAGTTTCCATAGTATGCTGACACGTGCCTCTCTGTTTAAAAGGCAGAATCATATTGCTTCCTTGTTCTTACTCCCTTTTTCTCCCTCCTCTTCTGCCCCTCTCACAGTCAAAGCTCAGTTTTGTATTTTCCAGTATACACATTCAGGGCTTCTAGTAAGAAAACAAAAGCACGTTGACACATTTAAGTACTACACATGTAAACACATGCAAATTCTTGACCTTCTGACTAAAATCACTGGAAAGCTGGTGGTTCAAATATCCCTTTTACACTATGTCATCCCTTTTCTGTCATCAAGGGAAGCATCTTCATTTTACATCATGCGTTTCAGAATCGTTGGCATGAAATATGGCCCTTCTGCAATCAATGGCAAAATAAACTTCTAATATCAGATAAACTAGGCTTTTATTACAGGATCTTGCTTAAAACTGCTTCTTCTGACATGTTCTCCCATTTCCTACTCTGACAAGTTTGGAGTCAGGTGATCAGATTCTGACAGCAGTTACTTGTTTTGAAGTAATTTTTTGTGGGTTTTTTTAAGTTTTCAATTTTGAAGAAAAATAGCAGTGCAAACCTAATAGGACTGTTCCAGAGTTTTAGCACCCAAGTGAGCCTATCATGAGGCAACTTAAAATCAGCATAATTGATAAATTATAACTGTCTGGCAACTTCCCACAAATGTATTTAACCTAATGTAGCATAAATTTGATAAAATTGAATTTACAGGATTACTTTAATTAGTCATGTATAAACTGCTAAGTGTAATTAGTTTAATAATAATCTTGGAATCAAGACTGCTAGAGAGTTATTTACTGATAATTATTTTTAAAGGAGTGTTTTGGCTTCATGTAAGAAGATTAGTCTTCACCATCTTTTTTCTTTTGCACTCCAACAGAATTTACATAAGTCTGATATCAAGCCATATATGTTATTATATTTTTCTTAAAATAATTTGTACTGTATTATCAATTTCATCAATAGGGCAATTTTGAAATAAAAGACTGTAGGACAATATTTTCTATGTAAGATAGAAAATACTGCTATTTTATTCATATCATGAAAATTACTAAAAATTATAAAATCTGTATCAAATACGACGAAGTTTTAAAAAAATCTTAGCTACTCTCATTCAAACTGCAGTAAGGATTAGCCTGTGACTATCTATAGCCTAGATATTAAAGAAGATATAGAGACTACACAACATTAAGGTGAACACTTATTTCTTCCTTCTCCACACTCTACACTGAGCTTATGCAGCTTCTCAATAGAAAAGACAAGTCAAAGGTTCCAGCCATTTACCACTCTCATTGTACCGAGCTCTGGAGGAAAAGAGGAAAGAAAGTTCTTCACTTTTATATGCATAGGCCTACCGAGGAATCTAATTAGCATCTGAGAAGTTTTTTGCTCCTCAGAGTTCCCACTGAAAAATAAAAAAATAAATCAAAAAAACCCAAACCCCAAAAAAACCAAATCCCAAACAGTTCCCTCATGTTATCTGCTGCAAGGTCTCAGTTTGTCAAATTGTTCTTTCTTCATTACCTCCAAGACACTGAGTTGAGAAGAAATCAAAAATACCTTAGATTTTGCAAACACATGTGCAGCAACATTCTTAGTTTGAAAACACTTCTCACTGCTTTCATAATGCCATTAATTTTACCCTTGAAGGAGTAAACTACAATTTGAAGATAAAGAAATCAGGTCTATTTTAGCAGGTTGTTACATGTGAGTTTGTCTTTCCAAGCCTTGATTCCAGCACCTTCCTCATCAAGTACTAAACTATGCAATGCTTAAAAGCAAACACTTCCTTTGCCTCAGTAAAAAGCTCACCTTTATTTCTAAAAATACCTTCACAATTTTCCCTTACAGAATTACTAGCACTATACTGCTATGTTACTTTTAACATGTTGGCTTTACTTTATCCTAACACTCCACAATCTATAATTCTGCACTAGTACACAAGATTTCTAGTCTTCATTGTTTTTTCTACCAACATACATGGCTAGCTGCCTTTTTTTCACCCTTTAATCAGCTTTAATCAGCTCCTGTGCCATAAACCAGACTTTCTGTGGCAGGATGTATGGCTCTAAATACTGTGAAATTGATTCATTCAGTTTAGGCCTCTATCCTGCAGAACAAGGGACATGAAAGTGCTTTACATGAAGGATAAAGCTACACACACACAGAAATACCTTCCTTAGACAGAGACTCTGACAACACAGCAGTAGATTTACATAGCTAACATTATATCAGTTACCTGAACAAAGTAAGGATCTATACAGTACCTTTTATTCAAGCAAATTTCAAAAGTAACAAACACCACCATCCCTGCCAGCCAAAAGTTATATTACTGTTCTGGTAGAAACATAACCCCAGTCATGGAGAACATGCCTTAAGCAAATAAATCTGCCACCCAGGCCCAAGGGCTGTGTTGAACCCTAATTAGGGGCAGCACCACGACATGCCCTTTCTTCATTTGAAAAGATAAAGATTCACATCAGTAGAGCAGACCCTTTAAACATCACTGTGCTTTGATATTGCTCAATCTTACAACCAGTCTATATTTTTTTCCTAATTATTGCTGCTTTCTAAATTCCTTACAATTTGTCAACACATTCAGGCCCAGAGATAACCACAACATGTTTTGGAAGCTTCCTTTACTGAATTTTTTTTTGTCCTTGGACATAATTTCTCTTCCCAAACTTACATCAATAATATAAAAATCATCCATTAAAAATGAAAATTGTTTTGAAATTACATGTTTAATAAAAACATTCTAAGCCCAGTAGTCTTTACAGATGTGAAATAGTAGCTAATATGAACCAGCAATGGCTGTAATTTTCAACAGCTCTGAGCTATATACCACGTGTACTCTTTTGTTACAGTTTGTTAGGGTTTAAGTCAAAGAATGGCCTCTCTGGATTGTAGATCCCGTTCATGGTCTTGTTGTCTCATGTACATTAAAACAAAAATGTTTCTTCAGCAAGAAAGAATGCACTACCATAAAGATACTTTGAATATTGAAAACTGCATGTAATAACCCCCTTGGAGATGGAAGGGGATTTGGATCCAAATTGGGTTTTATTTAACTAATTTCAAGTTATTGCCTAATGAGTCATAGAAATTTTCATCAAAGGGATATTCATCTGGCACTGATATGTCGGAATATATTAAGTAAAAGCTTTCTGTTCATCAAATATCAAACTTGAATGTGGTGTTTAACCAGGAAATACCTATAAATTACATCATTCATCATAATAGAAGTGTCATCAGTGCAAACTTTGCCCTTCAGCAGAAAACGTGAATGTGGCCTGAAGCAACTACTTTCATTCAAAATGGGTTTGTGTTACTGATTTACACAAAACAGATTCCCCTCACAAACACACTAGAATTTCAGTTTTCACAGGTGTCATACACTTCCAATACAGAAGTAATCAAGCGCATGTGTCAGAGCTTGGATTCCCTCCACATTTCTGTACATGAAAATACAATGTAAAGATAGTATTCTACTGTGTTTGGTTTTGTACAATCAGCAAAACACACACTAGAATAAATGCTGGGTTTAGTGCCTCTAACTTTACAATACTGCAGAAGAGATATCTTGATTTCAAGGTTCAGAATATCAGAAGCATTTTAAAGTTATTACCATTAAGCGATATCAGCAACAACTATTTCCAGGCCATTCAAAAAATTTTTATGCAGGAATCTTCACTCAGATGTTAAAATCAGGTATATAAAGCACACAGTCTTATCTACCTTTCAAGAAGCTTATATTATATATTGTGTGCCAAATGTGAATTATTGTGTATCTTTGGTGGCTTCCACATTTGTATTACACTAACGTTTTTTTTTACACTTGCTTAAGAAAAAGACAACTTTGATAAAATACACATATTTTAGTCAGAAACCTCCATCTCCTCTCCTGAGACCTCTTTACTTCCTCAAAAACTACACGGTTATATAGAATATAAAGATATAAAGTTTTGAAGAAAATGAGCATTACATATGTGACAGACTTAATGAAGGCTTAAGTCTAACTCAAATCCGTGGTGGTAATATACCAATTTCATGGCTTAATATTATAACTAACTAGGCACTGAGGCTGTGCCTTCAGTCAGGAAAGTTATGCTATCTGCAACAGTAAACTGCTTTCTGATACATTAAATCAGTAGCCAGACAATTGGAACAGATTAAAATTCACATGTAAAGTTTTCTAAGATAAAATGGAATATATATTGCTATTGGATCTGTATGTTTTTCAAATGTCAGATACAGGACAAAATTTTAGCATCATATTATTAAAATGCTTTGTGAGGAGCTGTAAATAAGTATAAATCAAAACAAATATGTATACCTCAAAACTAAACACCTCAGTCATGTATGTAGATGTTTTGTTGCTGCTGCTCAAATTCACTATAATTTCTCTACTGCATCAGCTGATGCCTCCAAGACCAACCTAAAAGTGCATTCAATGACCTGTTTACTGAAGGGAAGTTTCCACAGAGAACTGTTTTACTGATGATGTTGTGCTGATATTTATAGCTACTGCGATGCAATATAAAAATCAACATCATCTGTTATAACTTTTCCCTTTTAGTTTCCCAGTTCGTAAGAGTGAGCTTTTTTATTTTATTTAAGAAAAAAAAATCATACTCTAGTTTATTAGGGTATGCTTCAAACAGACATGTTACTTTTAGCACATAAATGCTGCATTATCTGTTCAACAAATAAATCAGGTTTTATTAAAAAAAAACAGCATGAAAGAGTAAGATTCTTTTTTCTTCTTTATTTTGGCCACTTTTCTACATGATGACTGAAACCAGGTTTTCTACTTTTGTTTAAAGCTAGTTTTGTGGAATTTTAAACACAACTCAGTCACATGAACATAAATGTAAGAAAAACTTGGAAGATTTTACTATTAATAACACTTTATTAAAGTAACTTTCAAACAAGCATACGATAGGATTTTAGAGCCACCTGTGTAAATTTTGACTAAGTCTTTGAAACAAAAGTGTCCTTCTAGACATCAAAAATGGTTTTCAGACACTGAGAAAATATTTTATGAACAATTTCAAATAGAGAAAAATAAAAGCAAGTTTTAGCATGTTTATCTTAGTCATGCAAAAGAGTGACTGAGTTTGAATGGGTTGTTAAAAGCCTGCAGTGAACAGACAAAGCTGTTACTAACAATGATTAAATGATTCCTATGATTACATTGCCTCAAGTCTTGGTGAGGTGATGTGAACATCTGGTTTTCCAGTGTAGATCTTAACACAATCTTTTAATAAAATCCATCTTCATAATGGCCACTGAGGACTATTACTCTCCTAATATAACTTACAATTATTCAGTATAACAGCTGTCATTTCTGTCATTCACATGTTATTGAAAATCTTTGCAAGAGTCCTGTGTTTTTTAATTTTTCAACATTATTCATGTGGTACTAACAATATTTGCCCCTTTGTAATAGTTTTTACTCCCTTTTAATTTTTTTGGTGTATTTTGAGGTGCGCATGAAGTTTCTGACATTGTATTGGGAGTAGTAACCTCCACTGTAGAGACACAACAGTCAGAAAGTAAAATTTAGTTAGACTACAGTTACTGAGATCAGGCATTGCTTACTGCATATGTGCATTATACATCTGAAGGGGAGTACCTGTGAGGACTGCACTCAACATCATGTCTTCTCATGTTCTGAGATGGAACATCCTATAATCATGTACAAATAACATGACAGCAATGGACAAACAGTCTCAGAACACCAGGCACAGGATGTTTCAGCTTACTCAGTCAAACAATGCTTGATTTGATTTTTTTTTTTCTAATAGAAAGGAAAACTCTGGTAACAATAATTGCCACAAGCATAGAGTTCTGATATTTGCCATTGTTCTCAGCAGAAAACAAGTCTATTGGCAGAGTATCAACTCTACAGCAGAGTTATGTCCAGATCATGCATGGTAGGCTTTCTACAACCTACTCAAACATGAATATCTGACACTAAGTACTAAAACTTTATGAACTCCTTGTTTATTTAGGGCATGTAAGTGTCATACTCTAAAGATCTGCACTACTTCTTCCAGAGTATCAAGAGACCACCACAGAACTATCTAGCATTTATGATGCATAGAACAGACTTGTAACACTACCTCACTTGAAAAGTGACATTTGGAGACCACATTCCCTGCATCTGCAGGTGATTCAAGACCGCTTAAGTAAATGCTTATTTGACCAGCATTTTTCTGAGCTGAAGACACACATTCTATGTATCCCTAGAATCCAGATATTAAACTACCTCTGCAATGTTTCCTGCACTGCTGCAGCTGCCAAAGATCTTGGATATCAGTGGGAATAGCAGCACATAAAGCTTTTCCAGAACCATTAATGGCATCTCTCTGCTTATTTTCAGGCAGAATGATTAAATAAAAAACCAGTTTGTCAGCGGTATCTAGATAGCTTCACAGTTCCCTCTTTTAAGGAGGGAAAATCAGTATCAAGCCATCAGTGAGACTGCACACATATACATATGGTTCCATCATCCAGGTGTTAACAATGTGTCCATTACAGCTCTTGAAGTAACTACAAGTGGCTGTTAACAGGTTCACATACATTGTCAATTGATTCACTGGAAATTTATTCTTTTTTTCTTTCATTTTCTGTTTCTTGGGTATTAGCTTTGCAAGCCTGGAGTGAGATACCTGAAGGACTATCATCCTCTTAAGATTCCCAAAGATGAGATCTCTTGTTGGACTCAGGAGGGCTTGTATAACAGATGTGTTAGTATAGGCTAACTTGCCCTATGTAGCAGCAAGCTTTGGTATATGGCACAAAGATTTTATTAAACTTACAAGTTGAACACCATACCTCATGCCCTGTGATATGCATAAGACCAGAAACAGCAGCAGCAATGGAGTCATATCCACTTCTCTGAGCCACTGGACCAGTTTGACCATAACCTAAAACAGAAAGAGAAGTACATAAATCAATCAAGGACAAGTACATAAAACAAACTATCATTTCTCCTCAGCTTTTGTTCACAAGTTGTCCAGATTGCACAACTAATGAATGCTATTGTATTCTCTTTATACCTGCACATGTTTAAGAGTAAACAGTTGGATTTATCCTCTGTGGGTTGATGATGTACTTGATCTTAATTCTAGACAGGACTCCTGTCCCTGCTATGTTTCACTCACTTTGGACAGAATTTCCTTTTTAATTTGCTGGGTCATCTAAGGTGGGACCGAGATGTCATTCAGATGTTCTATGGTATCTCTACAAGCCTCCAATTGCTGTCTAATAGGACCCACGTTGCTTGTGGTTTATCTCCATTCTGTCGTAAGGATACCTTGAATACCACAAACAATACTAAAATCATGACACTATGGTTTAGACACATGAATTGTTCCCCCATGACTTCTGTTACTTTACTCCACATCTAAACACAGCTACTTTCAAAATAGAACATTGTTTACACGAGATGGTAAGGCTGGCCTTTTAGCATGCACACAGAATCTCTTTGCCAAGAGTTAGCAACAATGAAATGCAAAATACCAAAAACTTTAACAGAACTACATAAATACAGGGTTTTTTCAGCTATAGAATAAACAGCTGTAGTTAGAAGGATGCTGTTTTGCTTTTCTCTGTCATACTCATCACGTTCTTCTAACAACAACCACAAAATCTTCCATTTGAGGAGGTCTTGCGGGAGCAACTGAGGAGATCACTGGAACCAGTAAACACCATAACAGAGGGTAGAAGTCAATAGGGAAGGAGCAGCATGTTTGACAGATGGCTACTGAGGTGCTGGAGCAGGTCCAGAGAAGAGCAACGAGGCTGGTGAAGGGACTTGAGCACAAGTGCCATGAGGAGAGGCTGAGGGAGCTGGGGGTGTTTAGCCTGGAGAAGAGGAGGCTCAGGGGAGACCTTATCACCCTCTATAACTCCCTGAAAGGAGGTTGGAGTCAGGTGGGGGTTGGTCTCTTCTCCCAGGCAACCAGCAGTAGGACAACAGGGCACAGACTCAAACTCTGCCAGGGAAGTTTAGGTTGGATATTAGGAAGAGAATTTTTATGGAGAGAGTAGTGAGGCATTGGAATGTGCTGCCCGGGGAGGTGGTGGATTCATCATCCCTGGAGGTTTTCAAGACAAGACTGGATGTGGCACTTAGTGCCATTGTCTAGTAACCACAGTAGGACTGGACTCGATGATCTTCGAGGTCTCTTCCAACCAGGCTGATCCTATGATTCTATGGGTTTTATTAGTTCTAATAATGGCAGAGCCTTCAATAATCAGATTTAAGCATCTGTCCTCCTCAAAGTGGTAGCAAATTCAAAAGCTATTCTCATGTTTTCTTTTCCCTTTTCAGATGTCTCTAGGTGAAATCTCCTGGTTCCAGGAGCAATTAGGAGATACTTGTCACAGACAAGATTCTGAGTTTGGCTGATAGATTTAAGGCAACATTTCTGTATTACTCTTAGCTGTGAGGATAGTATTAGACTTACATTATATCAGCATACTCTGCAAGATAAAAATTCCTGCATCTCCTAGATTCCTTTTCATTATTCTCCTCATATAATCTTTATATAT